GAGGGGGGAAGGGGGGGGGGCTATAACTTCAATTCTGAAGGCACCACAGTGGAGGAAAAAATCTGAAAATCTGATATTTCTTGTGTTTTGGGTAGGGAATCGTCGGGTTTCAAGAATCACATCTAACATTACTGTATGTTACTGTTAAGTGACGCCATCTATGCAATAGTAGCAGCAATTATAGCTATTTATCACTGCAACTTACTAATATTATTGTTATTACCGTACCCGATTTTACATGTCCTCAGTGTTATTCAATGTTGAGCCAGTAATACGTGAAAACGAACTTTGTTTGATTTTTAAAAGTGAACACATGGAATGCGGACTTTTGTAAAGATCCGTAGAGAAAATTTTCGAATGGTATGATAAAATATTTGATGATTTTTTTTGATACAGTGTGCTTCAAGTTATATGCTGTTCCCTTCTCATTTTTTGAGCTCAAAAAATGCGATTCATTCAGCTGCCAGTACTTTTCCTTTCATGAAACTGCTTTTAACTTAACCATCTGGTAAGAAGTACTTTTGAACTTTTTGAGTTTTAATTTTTCGAAGAGATCGCGCAATTGAGTATTACGTCATAATTCAGGTGTAGATTTTGCATCCTGAAATTATCTAGTCAAACTGTCTCGTAAATCCCGCTGGAATTTGGTGGATGCCCGGGAAAATAGAAAAATTTTCACCTATTTGTTTAGTAATAGGAGCTTGAAAGCGGTTCAATGGTGCGACCGGAAATTGCTTGAGACTTGGCGTAAGCTTTGGAGTTCAATGATCTTGGCTTATAGGCAGGACGTCAATGACAACAAAAAATATTATGAAAGCGCTATACCAAGTTCCATGATTCGTGCTTTTTCCGTACAAAATACTGGAAAACATGTTACTACTACTCAGAGGAAGTGATACGGTAATATAATATAAAACATGATAAAAGCATGTAAGATGTTATAATGAGTGAAGGCAGCGACTCCACATTTCAAATAATTCCAAACATATTGCTATGATCAAATCGGAACCTAAAAAAACTTCTGAAATCTCAAATTTTTTCTGTCTGTTCCTGACAGGAATTTGGATTACTGTAGTGACAGTAACGGTTTTAATATAGTGATGAGATCTTTCGCTTCAAGCTAATTATCATTTGATGACAACAGGAAAGTACCAATCATTAGCGAAAAATTTGTTCCCTCACCTAACAACTTCGTAAAGTACTAAAGTACAACATCTGAATACGACAGGAGCACTTGACATTCCGTACGTGAAATAATCCGGACGTTTTTTCTGTGACGTATTGAAAACTAGTATTGAATAAACTAGTAAAAGGGACGCCATGTTGTACGAACTAAGTCCAGTAGTCTTCAAAAAAATACGTTGANTGTACTAGTAACTTCCCAGGGGTCCAGGGGTCCTATAGATTTGTTCGTATTTTAGATTTCTAAGAAAAATTATCTGAGTAGGTCAGATGTTACCATATTCATTAGGAACTACGGTATATAATAATACTCAAACTTACTGTTTTCCCAAAGTTTTTGAGAAATGGAACGATCGATTCCCATTGAATTCTCAAGAATTCAAGAAATTCCTGGAATTATTTCTTGGTTGCATAAAGGCAGCTCCAAGAATTCATTACTAAGTAAATTTCATTAACTAAAGAGTATGTTGTCAAGTTAGGTTTCTATCCTTTCAAAGAGCATATCCTCCATTTTCATTAAATATGTAAATAACCTAGGTAACTCCCGTGCAGAATTCACATTCCCACAGATTGTGTAAAAGGTGATACTTTTTGGATGTAATTCACAATAATCACTGATCACGATCATTGTTTATTAACTGTTACAAAAGCACATAAATAGAGTAGCGCAATGTAGTTCATCATGGGGATATAACGACTAACTGGTTCTTCTGTAAAGTAGCATTCTAGAAATGCTTATAAAAATTGTTGTATTAAGCAAGTCGAATGTAGTGGAACTTCCTCGCGCCATGTACTCTGCTCTGAGAGTTTTTGTGAGATGTGTTGTGAAGTAAAGGAGAATGATGATGAGAATTGATGATGATGAAGATGAAGATGGTGGTGTGGATGATACATGTTCTTGCCTAGTAGTCGAAATATGGCTCGAACATTGGACCTCGTTTGCCGAATCTATAAGTACAGACGTTTGTTTATGGGTCTAGGATGGGTTATGGGTTTGTATCTGGGTCTCACTATGGGTCCAGATCGTGATCAGATCATAAAAAATGATCTAAACTAACCGAATAGGTTCGCGTGGTACACGCTTGCCAAATCGGATTGGCTCTCCACGAAATCGTTTAAAGCCTTGATGACTCTCCATCATTGCTTCTGCCTGTGGTGATACTGCAGATGCCTAAAAAGTGGTAATTTTAAATAGTAACTCAAGGTTGTCAATTGTACTGTGAGAATTACTTACAAGTAGGCACAACACAGTCAGGACAACAACGATAATCAGAGACTTGCTGATCATTATACCTGAAATATGAGATTTGATGGGAAATCGAAACCGATATGATATAGCGCCATTTGAGATGCGACTAAGTAGATCAGAAAAGTCTAAGCAGATCAGAGATTGTAATGTTTCCTGATGAGTAAGAGGAATCAGGTTGAACATATAGCATATGAGTGCCATACTACTCGTTATCGAGGTTGGTGTCGTATTTCTACGACGGCGACCAAGCTCATCGTTGATGCGAATCGGGCCGGTAGTGGAAGATTCATCAAGCAATCCCGAAGAACCCTAATTTCCTATCCCTGGCCCCTGACGACCTTGTACTAGGGCCAGATGAGGCTGGCAGGATGGGGTAAGTGAAGACTTCAGACAAGGAATCACCAAGCTTCCCCGGAACCGCGCGAACACCCCCAGCCCGTTGAAGAAGAGGAAGTGGTGATGACTAGGGACGCCTCCCCTACTTCTTAAGGGGAACTGCACACCGCAGACGCAGATGATAGAATAACGAAAGAACTTCTGGTGACACCGCCCCCATCTCGTCCTTTGTGTGGGGGCCAGCCCTCAGGTCATTAATCAGATGTTACAAATGCAGTACATAGCGTCATCTGTGATTGCTTTGAACAAACGTGGCATCAGAGATACTAAATCATATTTTAATGAACAGGCCCAAGGTCTAAAAATATTCCCTAATTTTCAGGATCGTCTAAAACCTGGCCGGATGTTGTTGGTCGATACGTATGAACAAAAAATCGAACAAGATGAAGATTTGAAACGTCGAATTGCACAGTCACGACCACACAAAAAACTAACTTCACGACGTGTTTACTTGGATTTACTCCGGAAAGATGATGTTGTACGTTTAAGCTCTGCTGTTACTTGTAATGACAGGGCATTGTTTACATAATGTACTTTATAGCCAGCCATGTTCATGCTGTTTAGCTTTCACATGGAGCCGTTACAAACGAATACCTCATCAAGTGTAATCTGGAAGCACTTGGTATTGAGGGTATGAAGAAGAAGGATGTCCACCTGGATTCAGATCGTCGCCTATCACTTTATGCCTATACACATGACACATTCAGCTTGCTACTGGTACCGATGATCAAAGAAAAGTAGGTTCCATGCATTGATAAACGAATTACTAGTAATCAGACATCGAGTTAGTGCAGGTTACTCCGAATCTCTGACTTCCAACGGCATAAATGATGAGACGATTGATTCTAATGAGCGGCACTCTGCGGAGTTAATGTTGAATAAAGAGCGATTAGTCGGTAGTACGTGGGGAGAGTGAGTCTGAGATCTGGTCCTAGTGAGTAAGCACGAGATCGGGTCCTGGTGATGGACCTGGGCGAGCGAAACACCGGCGTGATAGGGCGAGAATGAGTCTGAGAAATCATTGGGGAACCCTGTTATTAACGTCACCCACGACGACTTTAGGGGAAGATGATTGTGTTGTGAGTTATTCACCACGTTACGCTCTACATATATTTAGTCATGCCTAGAGGCTAGTTTTAATCCGTTCAAAAACACGCAGCCTTACGTATGTTCCCCCATTCCACACATCAACACCGTCTTAAAACTACTTTTACCACAAGGCTTATGTAAACTTCCCGTTCCCCCTCCCGTTCAACAAGTCTGACTTTTGTATCCCGAGCAAAAAGTAAGATCGATCTGCAGTTCCGAGCAAAAAGTCAAGAAGTAAGATCAGTCTGCAGCTCCCTTCTCCCCCCGAACCCCTAACTGTCAAAGGCACAAGCCGTAACGGCACCCCTGGATGTACCTTATTAAGTTTCAGACGTCGAAAATGCGCCATGACTGTGGTAAAGCCTGCTCAGTAACCAGACCAGCTAAGGTCCTTTAGACAATCCTTTCAAGGAGGGAAACTACTGAATGAAGGTTCAGATGGGTCTGTGTTAGAACTTCTGGGAGGGTGATGCCCGCAGAGGAAGGAGCGGAGAAGAGCTGCTGCTCAAAGGAACGGGTTCGATCTCCCATTCTAATCTTTTCAGGAAAGAAGCACTCGGTTCTATGGGCAATGATGCAGCACTGGCCTGTTTGTCTGATTTCAATCCGTTGATGTTTTCGTATTTTCAACAACTTTTTGCTCAGGTATGTAAACATTTAAGTAAATTGAAATCATGAGAAAGTCTTGGAAGGGAAATGAAACAAAATCAGGAGATGAAGTCAGTTTTTGGAGTTAATCACAGGAATGACAACATTGAAGGGGTCATTAGTCATTGCTTAGAAAACACTAGCACCCCGTAGATGACAGATGAGATGGGGGAAGTGGGGGGTGGAGCTGGAGTGTCAGCAGTGTCACTGTGAGGAAGAGAGAACAAGCAATTTGAGCCTCACAAATGCAATGAGAGTGCTGCGCGACCTTTAACTAGATAAAGAGAGGCTAAGAAACGGGAAAAAACCATAGAAATGTCCAGCTGAATATTATGTTGCGAGCCATTCGTCCGTAGGGAATAATACTCAATGAATATAATTAACGATCTCATGATGTAAATTATACTACTGTTTGCGTAACATCCCTTGATGGCCATTTTGTTTGCACACACCATCCCAACATAATTGCGACGACAGGTTTTTTCAACATTTTTTCCTAAAAATTAAATTATTCGCCCATGAACAGATTCGCGGTGCTGCCCAAATGGCTATCATAACAAATCAATACCTAAGGTTTGTGTTGCCATTATTATATAATTACTTAATGGTGCTTAAGTATGGCATTGCTCAAAAATGATTGGTGGTCACCCCACTATGTCCGGCGTGTTGAAACAGCATAACAACAGAGACAGCTCAGAACTTTTCAGGGGCCTTGGACATGTCCCAGGAAGTTCTGGTCAGGGCACTTCCCTTTTGGGACGAATTTAGTTTCCGTGAGCTAACACTTGACAGAGAAGGTTCAACCAGGCTGGACAGAATGCGATCCTCCGGACCGACTAATTGTCAGTACCATACTTAGCCTCGGGCTGGAACGCTACCAACGAGTAACAGAGTGAGCCATGAGGCAGGCATACGGAAAGGTTCTTAGAGAGCTGTTTCAAAGGTGAAGGAGGCGAGTATAAATTAAATTTGTGAACTTCAGATTTCAGGTGCATTACATTTCCTAATTCTTCCCGTTTTATAGCCTCTTTATCTAGTTAGAAGTCGCCCAGTCCTCATTGTATTTGTGAGGCTCAAACTGCTGTATAAGTCTGACAAAGTTGGTCATATCTGATTTTGCAAAGAAGGGTTAGGTAACTTGTTACCAGTTACTGTAAGAGCTTACGTCAAACCCCAAAATATCTTCCCTAAATGGAAACTTCAAAGAACTAATTAGTGATAATTGAATTGTTCTACTAATAGCTTGTATAGAAAAACTTCGCACCAAAAGTTGCCTTTCAGACAATTTCCTAAAGTTTCGTCGAACCCAATTAGATTCTGTTTGAGACGGAATTTTGCTGTGNAACGAGGTATATTCGATGACTCTATAACAAACAACTGGTATATAAGTAAAGGTAAAAGATGTGCACGGGAATGGTGTGGAATCTCATTTGGGGATGCTTTGATATGACGAAGAGCTAATGGAATGATTTCCGAGTAGGTGACTTGGTGGTCAAAGAAACGCCTAACTTAGCTGATTGACGATAAATCGCATTATAGAGAAGAGTAGTCATGAGATTTGCAGAGTTGCAGTTGTTGGTTACTAGTTGAAGTGCCCATAATCGGGTGATCTCCTGAAGTTTTTGCTGAACAGAACTCAATTTCAGGTCACAAATCCGCCAATTGACCCGTTCCGTGAGCAGATTGTTATGAGTCTACGATGTCCTGTTGGTCCGGAATCGAACCTGCTTGAGCCAAATGAGGAGTTGGATAGTCGTCTCATACTTGAGCAACCTGTACTTTCACTAGTTGATGTGAAGGTAATTCATTTAGAAAGTAGTAAATTACTAGAAGGAAAAAATTGCTTGACGTCAGTAATGCTGCCGTTTGTGCCAGGATCTTTCACCCTTAGCGGGAGCCAATTCGAAGTAGCCTACCAAGTGAAGCTTTTATGGATTATGACCTCATTAGGGCTAGAAAAGTTCGACGAGGATCCGTAAATTGGCCAACATTATCCGCTTTTCGGGAGGGGATAAACCTTGAAAGGCCCTTTCAAATATTTATTGCATCCCCCTAAAGGATTTAAAAAATTAAAGGGTGTGAAATATTTCCGTCATACCCATTAGTTTCAGGTCATTAAGCGAACGATGTATAAAGGTTGGCGAAGCAAAACCATTGACATTACGTTCCCAGTGAAATATGGAGTGAAAGGTAAAAATAAACCTTCGTAAATTTCTTTTGTCACCTTACTGGTAACTGCCTACGCCGGTGATGGAAAGGATTTGTCATGAGCTACCTGTGGCTAATATATGCATAAATCGTTCAGGCTTGGTACCTGGTTTGGATAGAATCTGCTGTGAAGCATGTACAGCAGCCTTGGAAGGCTATCAGATCCTGGTGCTGTCAGATAGGGCAGCCAGTAAGGACAATGTGCCCATATCGTCACTGTTAGCCGTCGGAGCCATACATCAATGCCTCATTCGACACCGTCTCAGAATGAAGGTCAGCCCATAAAAGATTTGAAACTGCCAAAAACTAATTACAGGGAAAAAAGTCTAAAGGGGCTTACCGTAGCCAGTGTAGGCAGAAGCTGTAGTTATAGGGCAAATCTGCTAGAAAAGGGCCTACATAGAAGCGGTAGTAAGGCAATCTTTGTAGTGGATGAAGAGAGACATTCGGACGTTTTTCCCATGCAGCCTGCACATCACCCTTCGAGATTGGGTTACTAACCTTACGTCAGCAGTATGTTTCTTCATGAAGGTGTAGTGAAGCTGGAGACAGGGAAGTTCCTAACTCATCCACGCCCTCAAAAGGACGAGTTATCAACTCCGGCGAAAAAACACGTAAATTGAGCTGTTATTTATTGAAGAGATTCCCATGGTAGAAAACTTACAACTTAGGCAAAACTTACCTAATTCAAGGAAAAATTAGAGAAACTGCAGATTATTTGTATTACTTTAATGGCTGCTTGTTTCCATACTGGTAAGTCCACGAAAATTCCATGTCCACATGCTTCCCAAGAATTTGGTTGAAAACGTCTACACTTTTCAATTTAGCTTTGCAAGTTACTCTCGTTGTAGTACTCATTACTCTCCAAAAACGTTTCCTCGAAAAAAAAATTCTGGCCACTCCCTCTTGGAGCAACTGCAAAACAGCGTAAAGAAGTGCACCTTTTTTGGTGTTTTTTAACAGCAGAGATCCGTTCCGGTACGGGAGATATCCTAGAAAATTGCAAGAAGCGAACGTATATTCAAAAAATAAATAATAAGTTTTCGCAGACGATAGCGCCCGTTAGCGATTCCTATAGTGTACTTCGACGTGGACTCGTCTAATGACGGACAGGCGGTAATTTATTCCCAGGTAAAATACAACAGTGTCTGATGGGCAAACTTTGGAGTAACATAACAGTAATAGTTAGTAAAATAACTTGTAGAGTTGTATGGTAAATAAGGCTCTATAAACTTAATGAAGCAATCATGGTTCTAACAAATTCCCCATGCTATTGTCGGTGCTTAGCTGAGATAATGGGTCGGCAAGGTTATTAATGGCTCGAGGCTCGAAATATCCCCAAGCCCCTGCAAATGACTAGTGATTTGTGAGTAGCTGCAAGGACATAAAAAAAAACTTCCTCAGTGCTAGGATTTTGCAAAAAAAAATGAGATAATCTCCGATTTTCTTCTCATTTCGTCTAGAATCTTCAATGCCATCGGGATGCCTTCAGTATCCTCCTGCAGCTGTGTCGTACAAGCTGTCCTTTGATAGAGCAGGAAAAAACGCTCTCCGGAAATTGTATTTTTCACTGTATACTCAGCTCCGAGAACAGCTTTGATTGATTTTGTTTCGAGATGCGCCACGTATCTGTTTCGGTCTCCAAGAGTAGTGGCATTTGGAAGCTCACTGGTCGGCCGGAGTTGATAGTGTCCTGCACTTACCTCTGGTGTACGAAGTTCTGATTTCCGAGCTAACCGGATTAAAAAAGATGAACAGCTTCTGAATGAGCTGAGGTTGTGGATGAGGAAGGAAGGGGGTGCGGTCCGGGATTTGATCACGGGACTGTGTGTGCAGCAGATGATGGCCCTGAGGCTTCGGAACTGTTCCAAGGGTTTTGAGGAATGCAGTGAATAATTTATCTGGGAATTCCCTTCGACTCTTTTGTCAGAAGCGATTGTTTATCGTCCGCGGTAACTGGCGATAGATTGGAATGAAGGCTCATCAAAAAATGGGAAAAATATAGTTAAGATTGTCGGTTCATTCGATGCACAACTTCGAGCTTGAGCGTTCTAAAATACCAAAGTAATCAGCTTACTAGTTAAGCTGCATGTTGATAACCATGCACAACTGTTTTGTTGGAGCTCCATTTGACTCCTTTGTTTTCCAAGAACATAATGGAGTGATGTGATTAACACTTCGGGTCTTGCAGGCTTTCTACGGGTGCCACTAGTCGTTCATTCTTCAGAGGCGCTCCTCCTTGATCAACCCTGAAGCGAATGAAGGGGCAATAAACGGTGATTAGCGAAACTAAAGAGGATTTTCAGAACCCCTCCTGCTTACTTGGAATTGTTGAGCAATAAATTCCGAGAAGGGCTCCAGGAATTGAATGGCTAAACTTTTGAATGGTCCTCTGCCTCTAAATGGCTCCAATAAGAAAAATATCTGAAGGACCATTCTGAAAGTTGCTCACAAATTGTCATTTCACGGTATGAATCAGATAATTGTAAACACTTATTTGAAGGAACGAGCATCCCCTAAATGTTGGCTACTGGTAATTACTGTTTAGTTGGTGTAAAGTATTGATCCAGTAATTTTGGAGGTACCACTTGTCGCAGCTATGATTGGTGCTTATGAACAACCCTCCAATCACAAGGGATGCTCTCAAGGATGTCGATTTGTGTACAAAACTTCGGTCTCGAACGGGAATCGAACCTGTACTTGTGCTTTACCGGCATCGTGCTCTTTATCCCTTACACTACAAGTTATCGCAAGGGGTGCTTTCTAGTTGTTAACATAACATGCACTCCGTTTTTCATCAGTTTCCAAAACCATTTTTGATGTAAATCTTTGATTCGGACTGATTCACAAAATTGACAGTTTCTTCCAGCACACCATTCCTAAAACTATTCTCTATACGGTTCTTGCTCGTCCTCATATGTAGGTCTGTTTAAACGGAGGGCGACTGATATGTACATAGGTCATCATGCAGTAGAGACTTCTTGAGAAGTACAGAACAATCGACAAGGACCCTTATATGAATTGGCTGTATCGAGTTAGCAGGGCTACGTTTTCGTAAAAGACCCAATCGACAGGGACAACCCGTCCAGCTTACGATAATGCGTGCCCATACACAGCATCCGTGGTCAATGTAGCCCTTCAAGAGCTTGTATGGGAGATTCTCTGGCGTCCACCGTACCCACCAGACCTTCTGCCTATCGACTTCCATCTTCCCCGCTCATTCTAAAGTCATATGTATTTGTAGCATACATTTTAAGAATAAGGCGCCCCTTAAAATTTATTCCAAAAACTTCGTTGATTCCCAATGATTTCGGACCATGAAATTCGACAGACCGATCGGGAGTGGGAGTTGATTGTAAGTACATAGTGATGGGGAATGCGTCATTGACTATGCCATGTTTTTTGTAATATTTTTTTATTAAAAATAGAAGTTTGAACTAAATAAAAACGCTGTGATATCACTCACCAATCCAATAACTGTGAAGAATCGAGTAGTACTCTTATTCTGTTATCCTAATCACGTAAGGGCCTCACTGGATAAAATCATCGGAAGTAGCACGTCCACGGGAGATCGCTTCCCTCGTAATTACTGTTTACCTTGTTTTGTTTACCACTCACCCAGCTAATATCCTACCAACGTACATCTCACAAAGCGTCCTTTATAGGCCGTACTCTTGACAGTCTACCGTCAATTTGTAATTCACTTTCACATCGCGATTCCTCCCTCACTGTTGCCCGAAAAGTGCGCATAATTACTCTAAATAATTTAAACTAGTACATTTAAACAAGTACGCGGAAGTGGTAGAGGAGGAAGCAGTTGCATGACGTCATTCCTTAGTAAAGCGAATTGAATTTACCATACATTGAAGGGAATCGTGTATGTTTGAATGAAAGCGGCCTTCAGCCTAGGAAGATCTGGGGCAACTAACAAAATTCACTAGTTTTAAAAACGATTCATTAGGGCTGCCGTAATTTTCTGTGGACAAATAGAAAGGAAACAAACGAATTGGTCAGTACTGACACTCCTCTGAGTATGTGCATTCTACTCTGTTCGGAATCGTGAAACATTGTAAAGTTTTTTTACTAACAAGGAAAGGATTAGTTGCGGGTTATTCCCCCTGTACCGGGCACATACAATGATCACAGGAGCCGTTCCACAGTTGTGTGACGTGGCTTCTGTGATCAATGTATTTCCGTTATCGGCACCAGGAAAATTGCGTTGCTGGCGTCGCATAGCGGAGGCATTATTGATCGCAGGCAGTGGCTGCCCCACAACCGCAACGCGACCACTTGCTTGAACGTTGCAACATTAGTCGCCCCCCTCCCTCCATAGGTGCTGTAACCTGAGCAAGCAGTGAGAGCCTATAGATAAGTGAAATAGCTTATTAGCAATAAGTGGAATAGTGTGGTTTCTCTTAAAACCCTCATTAAATCAATGTCCTATAACTGATTTTAGCTGCAAATCACTAGAAAACGAGTAGAAAGTGCAGTCTAAGACTATCAGTCTTTACTCATTTATTACTATTTTAGGTTGCCATCATTGTGGAAACTGGTGAAGCAAAGGTTGTCCATGATTTCTGTGTTTTGCTTGGTTTCGGAGCTGATGCTGTTTGCCCCTACATGGTTTTCGAGACAATGTATCGACTCCGATACCTTGGCTTGCTCGACAAGGAGCTCAATGACGACATGGTAGAATATCGATTTGTAAGAAGGTTTAGCGATTATTGATTGAATCCGTTCCAGGTATATCAAGGCTATCGTCAGGGAGTTGAACGTGGTATCTTCAAAGTGATGGCAAAAATGGGAATCAGTACGTTACACTCGTACAAGGTACAATGCCATCCCACAGTTCGAATTGAAATGCGATTTTGCGATGTCAATTTTGACCTATATCGATTTTCAGCACGCCCAAATCTTTGAAATAGTCGGGTTGGCTAAGGAAGTAGTCGATTTGTGTTTCAAAAACACCGTTTCTCGTCTTGGTGGTGCCACGTTTGAGATTTTGGCTGCTGAGGCCCTGAAACGCCATCGCTCTGCATTCCCTGTAGCCGCAAACGCTGACAAGCACGTATTTGGTGAGTCATTAAATCCTTTTTTGGGAGTGTCCGCGAAGAAATCCCATGTCATGGCAACAGACCAATAGTACGGCCTGTGGCTACCCATAAAGGTAGATCCTTCTAAGCTGATTGGTCAATTCTTTCTCAGTTCACTTTCTCAGTTGTTCCTTCAATATCTCGTGTCGTTCTGTTGCAAAATTAACGTCCGAACTTTTTCTAGGTAAAATCTTGACTGAGTGTTTCTATTAGGTTGGAAGATAAGTCCTGCAACACTGAACATGTGCCTCTAGAAAAAAACCAAAGCCCTTTTCAAATCTTTCCGCGCCTGATGGATGTAGAGTGTTCCTGAAGGATTTCGAAAATAAACATAAAAGGGCTTGTGAAAAGGTTCTTCATGAACTACGCCTGTCTGACGAGACGGGCAGGATGCACATGGCTCAGTCTCTTCTGCTTTGTCCCCATCGAAAAGACTTA